CTGTTGTCCAGGCTGAGCCGGAGCCCCGGATCTGGGTGCCGGGAAGTTTAGAAGGAAGGGGGGGAATCTCTCCGGGAAGCCCCGCCCACCCCCCTCCCCGCACCCGGGACGAGTCGGTCCGCGGAGGTGAAGCCGGGAGGTTGTGTCCCGGTGCCGTCGTGTGCCCCTCCGTTCGCGCTCGGGGTGTCTGGGCGGAGATCTGGGGATCCCACGGTTTGAAGGGCCTGCCACCGGGGAGCTCATCCGGGGCGCCAGTCCCGGGCCCGCCGCCCTTTGGACTCCCGGCCTGCGCTCTCCCGGAGCCCGCCCGGCCCTAGCTCCAAACAGGCCTCGGGCCGGGCCTCCGGGCGCCCAGGCTGGCTCCTGAGCGCGGTGCCCGCGGCGGTGCCGGGAGAGCGCAGGGTGTCGGAGCAGGGCTGTGCGTCCCGGGCGTGTGTCCCCGAAAAGCAGGCACTCGGGTTCCCAGCAGCTCTGCCGCCTGCGTCGGAGTGGGGTTCCGAGTTCGAGCTCTGAGCTGGGTGAGCCTGGCTCCAGAGCGCGCTGGACTTGGGGCCATTTCTTCGCCACAACTCTCCCGGGCTCTTGTTTTATACTTTGGAGGGTTTGAAGGCTGCTGGTCCCCCTTCCCACCCAAGTCCCCTCCCATTGTCTGTCGCGCTGTATATTCCTGCCTGGAGAAAAGCCGGAGGGTTGGGGTGCCGGTCTGCTCCGTTTTCCAGCCTGGCTAGGCCCTGGGGCAATGTCATTGAGACCCCACTCTGTCATCTTTCCTGGAAAAGGACCCTGGTCTGTGGCTGAGAGGTTCTTTCAGGGCTAGGGCCAATGAGGCCTTGGGGGTCGCTTCTCCGGGGATGCCTTTCTCTGTATCTTCCCTTTCTCCGGTCAGGGCAGAACCAGGTCAGGCCCGGACTTGTAGCCAGGAGAATAGGGGCTGAGGGTGGGGGCTGGACACAGTTCCTGGGAGTTGGTGCCCAGGCGGCTGGCGGCTCTGTGTGTGCATCCTGTAGCCTCTGTGCACACATGCACCCCCTCCCCAACCAGTGCTGGGGGCCAAGATACCTCCATGGTGGGACTGGAGGGGGGACAGCCTGGGGCAAGGAGAACAGCAGAGCTCCCAAAGGTTGGAGAGTTGAGGTGGTTCTGTCCCCTTCCCAAGACTCCTCTCCTCCCTTAGGAGTATGGCACCCACACACAAGGGTCTGTGGTCTGGTGCCCACTCACCCTGTGGGCAGGGGATGGACAGATGTATCCTCCAGGAGTTAGGCTATCTGTTGACTTTAGGGACCCTGGATGGCCCTCCTCAGGGAGGGACTGGAAGCCAGTGGGAGTCTCAACCTCTTGGGCCTTCCCCCACCCCCCTAGGGAGGGAACCATAATTAATTCTAATTAGGGCATTTGGGCTGGGGAACTGCTCGGTAGCATGGTCAGCGGCTGGCACACATGCGTGTGCGTGTTTCTGTGTGGGTGCATGCAAACCTGGGCCAAGCCCGGCTTCCTCCCTGACCCTCGGTTTTGCAGACACTGGTCGATCCTCCCAGATGCTGCCAGTCGAAGGAATATTAAAACCAGGAGGAGACACCTTTAAATAGGAGATGAAGAAATTAGAGATCTGGTCCCAACCGGACCTTTAGCCGGCTGTGTCATTCTGTTTTTTTAAGAGATTTTTTACTATAGGGCACATGCACTCACCAGAGAGACAGAGACAGAAAATGAGGAGTCACTCCCCAGGGGGATGGCCACGCCGCAATCCCTTCTCCTCCATTCTCCTCTCGGGATCTTGGGCACATATGCACATGCGCCCGGCATGAGTTTAAGCCGCCACCCGGGACTCAACCATGGCTGATAATGTGGGAGTCCAGCGATGTAACTATTACGCCATCTGCTCTGCCCAAGGGATCTGGCCTTCTGAACCTCCAGGCCATCTGCTGGCCCTCCTGTGTTACATTATTCACAGACTCTGTCTTATTGGTGTCTGAAAGTTCCTTGTGGGCAGGCACCGTGTCCTGTTCACTGCTGTATCTCTGCACCAACCCCATCAGTCCAACAAATACTCGCTGAGCTTTAATTTGCTCCGGACCCCATGCTGCCCTGGGGACCTGATGAGTAATAAAAGCAGACGGGGGGGCCTGCCGGGTCCTGGTGCGGCTCAGAGGCCACTTCGATGGCTCCCCACTCCCAGAGCTCTCGGGGGGACCTGGGACTCAGGGTGGAATCTGGCTGGGGACTGAAGCCCACCTCTGTGCTGGGAAAGGGAGAGGAGCAGAGGGGTCATCTCGCAGTGAGAATGGAGGGGTGTGTGCGGGCCTCAGGGAGACAAGAGGGGTCTCAGTGCCACAGCTTTGCACAGGTGGCTAGACGGTCACCGCCTCTTCTCCCCATTTGGACTGCAGAAGCCATAGGGTCCCAAGGTGGAACTCTCCCGGGCTCTTGTTTTATACTTTGGAGGGTTTGAAGGCTGCTGGTCCCCCTTCCCACCCAAGTCCCCTCCCATTGTCTGTCGCGCTGTATATTCCTGCCTGGAGAAAAGCCGGAGGGTTGGGGTGCCGGTCTGCTCCGTTTTCCAGCCTGGCTAGGCCCTGGGGCAATGTCATTGAGACCCCACTCTGTCATCTTTCCTGGAAAAGGACCCTGGTCTGTGGCTGAGAGGTTCTTTCAGGGCTAGGGCCAATGAGGCCTTGGGGGTCGCTTCTCCGGGGATGCCTTTCTCTGTATCTTCCCTTTCTCCGGTCAGGGCAGAACCAGGTCAGGCCCGGACTTGTAGCCAGGAGAATAGGGGCTGAGGGTGGGGGCTGGACACAGTTCCTGGGAGTTGGTGCCCAGGCGGCTGGCGGCTCTGTGTGTGCCTCCTGTAGCCTCTGTGCACACATGCACCCCCTCCCCAACCAGTGCTGGGGGCCAAGATACCTCCATGGTGGGACTGGAGGGGGGACAGCCTGGGGCAAGGAGAACAGCAGAGCTCCCAAAGGTTGGAGAGTTGAGGTGGTTCTGTCCCCTTCCCAAGACTCCTCTCCTCCCTTAGGAGTATGGCACCCACACACAAGGGTCTGTGGTCTGGTGCCCACTCACCCTGTGGGCAGGGGATGGACAGATGTATCCTCCAGGAGTTAGGCTATCTGTTGACTTTAGGGACCCTGGATGGCCCTCCTCAGGGAGGGACTGGAAGCCAGTGGGAGTCTCAACCTCTTGGGCCTTCCCCCACCCCCCTAGGGAGGGAACCATAATTAATTCTAATTAGGGCATTTGGGCTGGGGAACTGCTCGGTAGCATGGTCAGCGGCTGGCACACATGCGTGTGCGTGTTTCTGTGTGGGTGCATGCAAACCTGGGCCAAGCCCGGCTTCCTCCCTGACCCTCGGTTTTGCAGACCCTGGTCGATCCTCCCAGATGCTGCCAGTCGAAGGAATATTAAAACCAGGAGGAGACACCTTTAAATAGGAGATGAAGAAATTAGAGATCTGGTCCCAACCGGACCTTTAGCCGGCTGTGTCATTCTGTTTTTTTAAGAGATTTTTTACTATAGGGCACATGCACTCACCAGAGAGACAGAGACAGAAAATGAGGAGTCACTCCCCAGGGGGATGGCCACGCCGCAATCCCTTCTCCTCCATTCTCCTCTCGGGATCTTGGGCACATATGCACATGCGCCCGGCATGAGTTTAAGCCGCCGCCGGGGCCGGGACTCAACCATGGCTGATAATGTGGGAGTCCAGCGATGTAACTATTACGCCATCTGCTGGTCCCTCGGCTGTGTCAGTAGCCACAACCCTTTGGGCCTCAGTTTTCCTGCCTGGAAGAAATGACTTTGCACGTCCCTTTTCTCTTCCCTTGGTGTCTGTTGCCAGTCTGCCTTCCTTCCATATGGAGCCTGAGCCTGCTGGGGCC